AGCAGAGGGAGGGGATGGGATGGGATGGGATGGGATGGGATGGGATGGGATGGGATGGGAGGGGGGGATTTGACCTCTGAGCCAGGGGCCTGCCTGCAGGTGGGTAGCATACCAGTACCCGGGATACAGGGGCTACCAGTACGTGCTGGAGCGGGACAGACAGAACGGCGAGTTCAAGAAGTACAACGAATACAGCAGCCAGGCCCACACCAACCAGATCCAATCCATCCGCCGCGTCCAGCACTGAGCAGGGGCAGGGCTGCGTGCCCCGCAGCCTCCGGGCTGCCGTGCAATAGACCTCTATCCGGTAGCAAATAAAGGCATTTGTCAAAAAAAAAAGGGTGCTCCTGCCTCTGCTCTGCTCCTCGGGGGGCTGCCAGGCCCGGGGGCCCCCCTGTGGGGTGGGAGGCAGGATGCCTGCCCCAGCCCTACTGCCCCCAGCTCTCAGCAGCTGGAAGGGGTTTCCCTTCCCCAGGTTGTTTTGGACCCATGGCCACCTCCACCCTGGGCTGAGCTCTCTGCACCCCACCTCTGGTCCATGCACAGCGACTAGAGGGGATGCAGAATGGTTTCCATCCCCATGATACTCCGGCTGGAGAAATGGGAAGTTACTGGGAACTTACTGGACTTACTGGGCAAAGAAGGGGCTGGAGCCGGGACAGGCTATGCAGGGGGGTTGTGCCCTGGGTCCTCCTCCCAGGCTCAGCGCCAGGGAAGGTGATTGCTACAAAGCCTGTGAACACGAGGTCCCCTTTCTCTGCACCCCGGTTTGGAAGAGAGAGGGGGGTCCCTGCCCGCTGTGGGCCTGGGGAGGAGGAGGAGCGTTGGGGTCCTCCTGCGGGTGGCCTGCCACAAATGGGATGGCCGCAGCTGGGGCACTGGGGCCCTGGCTTATAGAGCAGGCGTACAGGGGTTGTGTGGGGTGCAAGGGATGGGCAAGAGGTCCTCGGGGCAGTGTCCCACAGCTGGCAGGGGGCCCAGCTCACTGCTCCCAGCACCCTTAGGGTCCAGGTCCCCCACCCCCAGCCTGGCCACGCCAGCACATCCGTGCCAGCATCCGGCTCCGGCTCCGCCCGGGCACACCGGGAGCACCACCCAGCTTCCTCCTCCTCCTCCAGCACCCTTTCCCGGCCTCCTCCTCCTCTTCCATCCTGCTCCGGCACCCTGAGCCCTCCTGGGGCGCAGGCCTCCGGTCCCAAGGTGCTCCCCACACCCAGGACATCCCCTCTAAAGCCACAGGACAGTGGAACAGTGCTGGGTGGCTCGGACACCTGGATCCCTGGATGCCCATCCTGCTGTAAGCACACCTGGCCTTGGGGCTGTGGGTGCCCCAAAAGGGTTCTGGGAGACTGGGAAGGACTGGTGAGTGCACGCCCTGCACCCAGGGCTGCACAGAGACCCAGCCCTGGCGTGTGTGTAAGCATGCGTGCTGCACGCGTGAGCTTGTACATGAGCATGCACACAAGCGTGCCCATGCACGTCCCCTCTCCCCTTGCACCCATGCAAGCACCCCAGCACCTTGTGCATCCCCATCCCGCAGGGCGTCCCTGTTGCGGGGTGCACTCCAGCCCTCCCTTGCCCCCTCCGTGTCCCCGCTGGCCCCACCCCGCCACAGCCCCACGGCAGCCAGCCTCTCCCCCTGCACAAACACATTCCTGCACACCCGGCCAGGCTGCAGCCAGCCCAAGGCCACGTCAGCTCGGCTCTGCTCCACGTCGCCCGCACCGCGCCCCCCCCCCCCCCCCACCCCCCCGCCCCCCAGCCTCTCCCCCTGCACAAACACATTCCTGCACGCCCGGCCAGGCTGCAGCCAGCCCAAGGCCACGTCGCCACGTCTCTGCTCCACGTCGCCCGCACACAGGTGAAGTTGTCCTGGGCACCTGCGCATAGGGCTGCAATGTTGGGGGCGGGTGGGGAGCTGTGGGGGTCACTGTGCTCCACATGGAGCCCCACAGACCTGAACCCTCACCTCCCAGATCCCCCCTGGACCCGAAGCCCTATCCCCTGGCTCCCCCATGGACCTGGGCCCCTGTTCCCTGGATTCCTCGTGTACCCTGCCCCCCCTCCTGTGGGTCTGCCCCAGCACCCCCGTGTCCCAGCTCCCTCATGAACCTGGGGTCACATTGCTCCGGTCCCCAAAGCTCTGCATGGGCACAGGGCTCCCCAGCCCCTGGGACCCCCCACTCCCTGCCCCTCTGCACCCCTCACCTCCCAGGTTGCCCAAAGCCCCCAGGCCCCTCACACCCCACTGTAAGCCCCCCTACCCACTGGCTTTCCCAGGGACCCAGGGGTCCCCATCCCCAGTGCCCCCCA